ATTTATTTTATGAAGGTTTGGAATAATGAACTATTCGTGTTTATATATACTGTTATATATGTTTAAACTCTTTCATTATTTTATTAGAATCTACCAAAACTGGCGTCAGTTCAAGATTTGATTCGGCCTACTTCTATGCGTTCGAGAGTCTGGAAACATTTTCTTGGTGTTTACCATGTATCTGCCAATGAATATATTCGCCTTATACAAAAAGGAAAATCTTGCGTTTATGATAAGGTTCGAAATGATACATTCAGAACTTTAGCCACAGATAAAAAATTTTTAGAACGAGTCAATGAAGACATGTTAATTCGTGTACTGAATGCTTTTGTCTGGAAAATGAAGTGTAATTACTTTAATTTATTCGTTGTCACGTACTTTTTATGTTGACCTGTAAAGCGTTATCGCTAATATTTTATAATAATATTTACAGCATCCGGAAATCAAACCGTTACTTATGTTCAGGGAATGAATGTTCTCGCCGCACCTTTCTTATTCACTATGTCAGAGATAGACGCATTTTTTTCTTTTGCTACGTTTATTCAGACATGTTGTCCTTTATATGTTACACCTACACTTCAAGGTGTTCATTGTGGGCTAAAGGTTATACTAAAGTTTATTCTCATACTGTATACCATCATCGTTTCTGTTTATATTAACCATCTTATTGTCTTTTAAATAGCTCCTGGATCAATGTCTTCAAATTATTGATCCCAAATTATTCAATCATCTAAGGTCAAAAAGTCTTACTGCAGAAATCTATGCTTTTCCTTGTAAGTATTTTCTTTGATCAAGTACTATATATATATATTTTTAGGAGTTTATAACTTATCGCCATAGCGATGTATGTATCGCCAGTCTATGCGGAGTTTGAAATTTTGAAGATTTGTAAGCAAAATTTGAAACTCCGTCTACGCGAAGTTTCTTACAAATCTTCAAAATTTCAAACTCCGCATAGACTGGCGATACATCGCTACGGCGATAAATTATAAAACCCATTTTTTTAAACCAAAATATTAATATTTTTCTTTTCACAGCTGTACTTACATTGTGTGCATGCACACCTCCTCTAGAACAAGTTTTAAAATTATGGGACTTTCTGCTTGCATATGGTGTTCATTTAAACATCCTTTGTGTCATTGCACAGCTCCTCTTGATGATGGATCAACTTGTAGAAGCACCAATGTTTGTCATTCAATTCAATTTTAATATATTTTTTAATAACTGAAACATTATAAACTTAACAACTAAGACAATCAATCTATTTAGTCCAATGAAATTATTGAGAACAATGCCAGAATTAAATGCCAAGTCCATCATAAACCTAACTATTCAACTCGTTCAACAAATTCCTGACGAGTTATATGATCAACTTGTTAAACATCCATTTGATTCATCAGTTGCAGCCAGCTAGAGTTGCGATTAAATCTTTTTTTTTTTTTTTTTTTTTAAATGTGTGAATTTCATACAATATATCAAAATAGTGGCGCATAATATCTTAGAAATAATCTTACACGTCAATGGTTT